AGCACGGGGGCACGGCCCACAGCCCCCCCAGGACCACCAGCGGCTGCTCCCCCAGGGCAGGACGTCGGTGCGGCCTCGGGGCAGAGCTGGCCCCCAGCAGTGAAACTCCAGCCTAGAAGGGACTGATGCCACCACGCGTCGGTGCTGGTCAAAGGGGAACAGGGACAGAAGATGGCCGGTGGAATGAAGAAGGAACTGGACTGTGTCTTACAAAGAAAAAGAGCTTTTTTAACTTAAAAACAGATGTCCATGAAATTGAGACCAGGAAGATGTTTTCTAACACTGAGGCTCAAGCCCCTCTTTTCAACAGAAGCGCAAAGGGTAGAAAACCCAAGGGCTTGGACAGAGCTCGACCTCAGGGACTGGACAGCTGCCTAAACCCCCTCCCTAACGCACCCGCGCTTCGGCTACGGGGGTCCCGCTGCTTCGCGAGGCAGGGGGGCCTGATGCTGCTGCGCACTCTCTTCTAGCTCCAGCTCTCACTCGACAATTGACATCGTGCAGAGGTTAAACGCGGGTCTGAAGCACATCGCACACACGGGGGACGCGTGTGCGTGTGACTCCTGCATCCCCCCACGGAGGCCTGAGCACCGCTGGGGATCCGGCAAGCAAAACCAGCGCTTTGTTGGCGGCGTTGAAGTACCACAGCTTCACTTCACAGCTCGGGCCCGAACGCCACAACAGCACTGACCCATCCCAAAGCAAACCAGGAACGAGCAAAGACAGCTGGTGCTGAAAAACGGCCTCTCGACAGCGCGGTGGCAGAGAGGACGCCCCGCATTCCGGAGAACGGCAGGGGAACACAGCTCTGCTGGCAGGCGGTGCCGCAGGTCTCAGCGCCCTTTTGCAGAGTGACACATTTATGTGGGACTGGGGCCTGCTGCGGAAGGCGCGAGACAAGGACTGCAGAGAACGTGGGTTTATCACAGCTTCCCTGTGGACCTTCAGCCAGGTCTGGTACCACTCCCGCTCGTTTGCCCTTTGCAGCTTCGACAGCGGCTGCTGTGAGGCAGCAGGAAGGGCCGCGGGAGGCTCACGGGCCGCGCTCTCCATTCCATGGGCAAACTGGGTGTTCACACAAGTATCATTATAGAAAAACAATAGGAAATTGGTGGCTGGGTGGGCTCCTCTTCCTCCACTGATCAAAAACTCCAACCCCAAAGTGGGCACAAACCATGCCCTGAGCTGATCCCGGCCTGCGGCGAGGCCAGCAGGCCCTTCCTTCCGCCCTGGTGCTCCTCAGGAACTTCCCACCTCCACCGCCATGCCGAGGGACTTCTTCGCCCCGAGCAGCTGGGGAGCCCGGGCTCCGCGAGCCACCCCGGGGAAGGCAGCCAGGTGGAACAGGCACGCTGTCGCTGAAACTGCGTCCGAGGGGAGGAAAAACGAGTCACAGAGGAAACGGCCATGACAGGCTGGCCAGAGACGGGTGAGCACACTCCTCCAGACCCAAGGCAGACAAAGCCTGGCTCCGTACGGGTGCTGTTATTCACTGGATCCACAGAAGACACGCAGGTGACTATCGTACAAGGAGGCAGAAAAATTAGAGAGCTATAAAGAAAACCACAAATGTGATTTAAAGGGTGAAAGTACGTTTGTGAGGAAGCCTTCAGCAGGCAATCTCCGACACCGGATCTAATGAGCTCATCCAGAGTTGCCAAGAGGTGGTTTGATTCATCAGCTTTTCAGGGAGGGGGAAAAAAGAAAAAGTCTCCAGGGTGGGAAAAAGGCTCTCTGGTTTGGCAGAGAAACACATGAAAACCAAAAATCAATGTCTGGGGACAGCCCAGAGGTGCTCTTGTCACAAGGGTTCCACTCACTTGGGGAGCTGTGAAGGGAAGCTGGCCCTCCTGGCGGGATGCCAGAGCGGAGCCGGTGCTCATCCCAGTGGGGCACTGCAGCAACAGGAACCCCTTCTGCACAGCCAGGCTCCGCCAAGCCACCAGTGCTCACTGCTGCAGCCGTTTCAGCACAGGCTGAATGAATCCTGCAGGATTTTCCAGCAGGAAAGCAGAGGCGGCAGCAGCGGAGGGAATGCAGACCAGCAGCACGTTCCTGTCCTGGGCAAGGGAGCTGACTGCCTGGAGCCAGCACCGTGCCTCACCCATCGCCTCCAACGCCACCCACTTTAGCTGGACACCACGCCTCTCCTTCTTTGACAAGAATTTACAGTTCTCTAAGAACCAGAGGCAATTGGCCTTGTCCTCAGCTATGACCCTCGT